CGGTTTTATCGGGGAAAATTTGAGCGACATAACCGTCTAACCCACGCAGTTTCGTTAAAAGCGATTTTTAAAGGAAAAAAAGGTCTACAGTTTTTCGGTAAAGTGTTTTTATAGGTGTTTAAAGCATTGATTTATCGCTAGACGCCTTTGTTTTGAAATAAAACAGTTTTTTCCTTCTCCTGTAAAATTTACCTCGCTGGGGTTAGCCGGTTTTATCACAAGGCCGACGAAGTGCTGAAGAGTGACTGACTGTGATTCCAAGTACTTTTTGTGACACGAGCAGGCTGACAGGTTAGGCCTAGTGTCAATATTCTGGAGAAGTTTTCTTAAAAAGCAGTCAGTCACCTGCTGAATCATTATATCAGATTTGATGACAAATGATCAGGATACAACAACGAACCAGGGACAAGTTTGCTCTCATCGACGATGTTTGGGATTTCTTCCATACAAATATAGCTAAGCACTGCCACTTTCATCCTGTACATCCCAAACACACCAGACCAATATGGAATTAAAATCTTCTAGATGTGTGACTTGAAAGCAGCTACCCACTTAGAGGCTTCCCCTACTTGGGCAAAGGGCACACAGGACCAAGACCAGACACAGAGAACAACAATGCCGTTGGTTCCAACACTAATCTAAAGCTGACTCAAAACTTCAAGGGCAGTGGCAGAAATATCACTTCTGACTATTTTTTACCAGTCTTGACTTGGCTGAAGTTCTGGAAAAAGACAACCTTACTATGGTGGGCACAGTTAGGAGGAACAAAACATTTCTCCCTGTGAACTTCCAGGAAAAAAAGAACTTGGCTCTTTCGGAGTCAGCATTTGTATTTCGAAAGAATGTATCTCTGGCCTCCTATAAAAGCAAGAAACAAAAAATGTCCTTCTCCTCAGTACAATGCACTCTGCTCCTGGAAGATCTGGGTACAAAGGAAAGCTTGAAATTGTCCTGCACTATAATTATAACAGAATCAAAGGTGAGGTGGATGCAATGGACCACATGCTTTTGCCGTGAAACGTAAGACAAACAGATGGCCCCTCAGTTCCATTGCCTCACGTGTCATTTGTCAAGCCATGCTCCCCAATGATAATCTTTCACTCACAGACAACAGGCAGCTCTGCAACATGGCAGTGGCAAGACAACTGGTTGTCCAGCAGATCACATGGTGCTCAACTGTCTCTACACTCAATCTACCAATCAAACAAAACACTAAGACAGTGCTTCAGTCTCTGACCCCCACTCAAGTGTCGTCTGTTCTATCCAAAGTCAAAGAAAGAGTTCCAAGCCAAATGACGAGTCTCCTGGGTCTCAAAAGCAAAAGAGATGTGTACAGTTCCTGGCCAAAAAGGATCAGAAGACAAAGTCTCGATGCCAGTAGTGTGATTGTCACATTTGCAAGGACCACTCAGTTTTTCTTTGTTTTTACTAACACCACTTTCTTTTGAATCTTTCATTCTTTGTGCTGGTGCAAGAACAACAAGTGGCGTGGCAATCACACCGCTCGCACCTTGACATCAGCTTGTCTCCTTATTTCCGTTCATGTTTCAAGTTTCTGTGGAAAATTAAACGTTCTGTCCATGTATTTCATGCCTCTATAACCTTTTTCATATTACATGTTTGACACTTCTTAGTTGGGATTGTTTCACACATTAACCTGTCTGATCCTTCTGTCTATAAAAGAAAGTGTACGGGTGTTAACCATCCAGCCAGTATTTCCTAACAAAAAAGTATAAGGGTGGACAACACGCACCCGGTAGAAATCGACCTAAAAAAATTTGACCAGT